CCCTCCATCCCACGTCCCCTCCCCAACTGTGATCCATTAAATCCCACCTCAATGACCCCCCCGCCCCATGGATTTACCCTATTAATCCAATGACCCCCCCCTTCAATCTCTAATAAATAGAACCCGTACATGACCGCTCTACCCTCCCCCCCCTCTGCGTCCCTCTCCTTCCCTCCCGCGGAATTACTCTCCATCGTATAAACCTCTCCTCTTCTATAACATCCTTTCAATTAAATCCACTCCCATATCGATCATCTCCCCGCCCACTATTACTTCATTTACTCCATTAACCCCAGAGAAACTCATTGAGCCCCAACTTGGCCGAAAAATCTCTCCATTAATCCCAATGCACTCCCCGTCTATCTACCCCTCCCCCCCTTTTCCCAATTTTTAGTACCCGCCATGCCACCCCCCTTCCCCTCTATCCTAATTAACACGCTATAGAAGACTCGCTCCCCTTTTCTTGTACTCCCTCTGTCCACCCCCCCCTTTCCATTAACCTCCAATGAAACCAGTCCCCCCTTCCACGCCCCTTACCATTAAACCCGTGATGACCTCCCCCCATCCTTCCCATGTAATTTCTCAATGACCTTCCCCCCCTTCCCATAATTCCAATGACTTCCCCTCCTTTCCAATTATTCCTCCCAATGACCCCCCCTTCCATTTTAATCACTCGCAATGAACACCCCCTCGCTTTAAATCCCCTACAGGACCCCCCCTCCGGTCCTTTACCACGCTCTAAATGATCCCCCTCCTTTCCATTAATCCCAATGAACCCCCCCATCTTCCATCAGATTATAACCCCAATGATCCCCCCCCTTCCATTAACCCCGAATGCCCCCTCCCTTCTCTTCGTTATGATCACATACGCTTATCTGAAGGTATTCTCGCTCTTGATTGGGATCGCTACCATCTGACGTCCACTCACTACAGATACGTTCGACTGTCATCCGATTCTCAAAGCTATGAATGCGGAAGATCTAATCTTTACCTCAATACGTTGATTTTGGAGCCGAACATATCCATCGGTTAATGAGGAGCGATCCATGAACGGCGGATTCTGGGACGTGGTATTGGGCATCGACAGACTTCTTATATTCGTTAATTAATATGACAAATCTGATTGTACAACGCACATAGCAACCTGTAAATCAATGCCGGATCATCTTCCGATTTGAATCGCAATCAGGCGGGACCCACTTATGTCCTCTTATTATCGCAGCTCGATGGGTCCTTCACACCCCACTACATCTGAATTGTACAATTATGTGTCTTAAATTTCCATTAACACAACGTATGTGGTCGTTACAGATGACGCTACCATCAGCTCTCTCATGACTTAAATGACTGATTCGATTTATGTCACTCAGATTTGTAGTCGTGTGTGGTCCATCCTTTTTATCTACATCCACTGGCGCTAGAACAGAGATGAGACCCGCTCCTGACTTGCGTCTGCAAATCCTTCTCGATCACGATTTGCTTTTAGGTTTGTCCTCGTTTTTGGAGCTTCGTACAATGCAAGATTGCAGAGTTAGGTAACGCACCCACAGCATACCTCTCGATCTGATCATTTCAATGCGTGTCATACAAGATTCTACGACACCCTATCGAATCGATTTGGACTCTGCCAATTTGTGCGATCGGCGCTGTGTTGGGAATTTCGGTCAAAATTGATTTCTGATCGAGTTCAAACTCATACTAATACTCTGCAGAAGTTCATCGAGGATCCAGAGTCGATACAAAATTTCAGATCGATGGAAGCGATGCGTATTCACCTCGACCCCGATCTGAATCGATTGGATCAATAAATTATTATCAGTCGACTGCAAATACGCAGAACAATATCTGTGAGTTCGTGTGACTTTCGACTCGATTGTTCCCATTCTAAATCGGATACTACATTGATACTACATACTTTGTATACGAGGTAAAGACCGCCTTATAGATGATCCATTGTGAGAGACGTTCGTCGCAACCACTCTTTGTATAGATCTAACGAACATCACAATTCGTAAGCGATTCTTGTCGACATCAACGATCGATTTGCTACGTACATCGCACCATCATCAGCATTCTACGACATCACTCATTTCTAATGATTCTATGACATCTACCGATCAGTACTTCTAAACGACAATCTAATCAATGACAGATTCTCATGTGACATTCATCGATCGTATCTCTATGGACTCACCGAGTTCGTGTTTTGTTTTTCGTTCCTTGTTCATCAATTTGCATTTGTGTGTTGTGTTCCTTTTTTTTCCGTCGTAATAGTTCGCGTTAATTATTTTAATTTCGATTCTTACTTACCGACGTATAGTTGTCTTCCGTCTATGTGTTCGTTTCCATTTTGTCGTATTTTTTTCGAATCGTGTGTTTTCGTTGTGATTGCTTATGCGTTAATCTCTCTTCCATTTTTTTTTTTTTATGGTCTTAAGGTGTACTCTATTTCTGTCGTTTTACTTTTCAGACAATTATTCCATCGTTTTCCTGTAGCCCACATTTACTCGGGAGCTTTTTCCATTTTTCTTTTTATTGTAGTTTTACGTATTTCTCGTTTTTTTTTTCGCTATTTACTTTATCAGCGCCTTCGATCTATTTGGCTAAATTTATACAGTTTTTCGTCTACTATATAAGTAGGAACATTGAATGTTGACCTTTAAATGATGATTTGTAGTTTATCTTTTCTTCCTCGTTTCGTTGGGTCCTAGATTCGGTCTTAGCTTTTTTGTTCGGTTCGCGAGTGAGTAGTTGTCTATGGAAGACTGCTTAGCATTGTTTTCATATTTCCTGCTTCTCTATTGTATTGCGTTCTTTTTTATTTTTTGTTCGTCTTTTTGTTTTTTTTTTTCGCGTTTGTGTTTCTTTGAAGTTCTTTGTTACTTGGTATGTATCGTCAGTTCGCGTTGGTTTTTTTTTTTTTTTGTTTTTTTTTTTTTTTTGTTCGCTTAGTTTTGTTTTTCGGCGTATAAGCAGCTACGTTCTTTCAGGTTATGTATCATTCGATTTTTCGCGTTAGTTGTTCGTAGATCGACTTATTAGTGTATATATTTATGAACCAAATCGAGGCAGTTCCTAGTTTGTATTTTTCGTATCTTTTTGCTATAATATACCAACATCATTTCATTGTCTTTGCGCGTTTTTTCGTTGCTCGTTCAATGCGTATTCTAATTGACATCACCAATCAGGATTCAATGACAATCACCGATCGGATTCTATGACATCACTTGATCAGGGATTCTCTACCGACATCACCAATGCAGATTTCATAATGGACATCCAACGATCTATTCTCATGACCTTCATTTTACGATCGTATTACTGATGACTCTATTCACCAATCAGATTCAATGACATCACCGATCGGAAGTCTACGGATTTCTATGACATCATTGATCGCATTCTTCTATGACTCCATCACCAATCGCATTCTACCGATGACATCACGATCGCATTTCCTATGACATCACCCGATCAGATTGTCATATGACCGATCGGATCAATCACCGATCGATTAGACTATCAGTTATATGACATCACCAATCAGTATTCTCGATGACATCACCGATCGTATTCAATGACATCACCAGCTTTCTATGACATCACCGATCGTATTCTATGACATCACCGCGAGTCGTATTCTATGACGATCACCTATGAATCAGATTCTATGACTATCACCTCGATCATATTCTATGAACATCACACGATCGTATTCTATGACATCAGCATTCAGATCGTTATTCCACAGACGTGTTCAATGACATCAATTCACTTAGATTCATGAACCACCGATCTATATTCTATGACATCACCGATCGTATTCTATGACATCACCAATCAGATTCTATGACATCACCGATCATATTCTATGACATCACCGATCGTATTCTATGACATCATGTCTATGACATCACAATCGTATTCTATGACATCACCAATCAGATTCTATACATGACAGTCTTATGATGATCGTATCTATGACATCACCAATCAGATTCTATGACATCACCAATCGTAGTCTATGACATCACCAATCAGATTTCTATGACATCACTGATTGGATTTTTGGAAAAAGGCGTAATGTCATCAATAATGAATCAATAAAAGTCGTCATCCCCTCCCCCCTCCCCCCCTCGGATCCCATACACAGACAATCGGATCCTTGTACACAAGAGCTGACAATCTACAGAAATATGAATGGGACTCACCGCCGCGGAGGAGCACAGCCAATCCCAGGAGCCGGATCCACATGATGATGGGATGGGGGGGGGTCCTGGAGGAAATTCGGGGCCCCCAGGAGAACGCTGGCAGGTCTGGTGTCGCTGGCGGTGATGGAGCCTCTGGTGACCCCAAATCATCCTCAACACTGAGAGCATCCAGAGGAAAGTTCCCACAGAATGACAACCCAACCCCCCCTCCTGGGAGAGGGGGGAGGGGGACTGCGGAGGTCACAATAGGTGCCACCCCCCCCCACCAGGGTCTTCCTAGTCCCATGCCTGGGGGGGAGAGGAGGGGGGGGTCAGAGGTCACAGAGACAACTGGGGACAAGGTCACCGAGATCACCCCGTCAGATGGTGAGCATCCTCACATGACCCCCCCTCCCCCCCACCAGAAGAGGAAGGGGGGTCATCCACACATGGGGGGGGGGGGGATACAAATCATTCCAACAATCATTGTCCCCACCGAGAACCACGACCCAGAGGATCCCACCATCCCCGTACCCATTAGGAGGGGTTCCCACCATCCCTGTGCCCATTATGAGGGGTTCCCACCATCCCTGTGCTGAGTTCCCGGTCTGTATCCCGCTGTGCCCATTATGAGGGGTTCCCACCATCCCTGTGCTGAGTCCCCGGGTCTGTACACCGGCTGTGCCCATTATGAGGGGTTCCCACCATCCCTGTGCTGAGTCCCCGGGTCTGTACACCGGCTGTGCCCATTGTGAGGGGTTCCCACCACCCCTGTGCTGAGTCCCCGGGTCTGTACACCCCCTGTGGCCATTATGAGGGGTTCCCACCATCCCTGTGCTGAGTCCCCGGGTCTGTACACCGGCTGTGCCCATTGTGAGGGGTTCCCACCACCCCTGTGCTGAGTCCCCGGGTCTGTACACCCCCTGTGGCCATTATGAGGGGTTCCCACCATCCCTGTGCTGAGTTCCCGGTCTGTACCCCCGCTGTGCCCATTATGAGGGGTTCCCACCATCCCTGTGCGGAGTTCCCGGGTCTGCACACCCGCTGTTCCCATTATGAGGGGTTCCCACCATCCCTTTGCCCATTATGAGGGGTTCCCACCATCCCTGTGCCCAATATGATTGGTTCCCACCATCCCTGTGCCCATTATGAGGGGTTCCCACCATCCCTGTGTTGAGTTCCCGGGTCTGTACCCCCGCTGTGCCCATTGAGGGGTTCCCACCATCCCTGTGCCGAGTTCCCAGGTCTGTACCCCCGCTGTGCCCATTATGAGGGGTTCCCACCATCCTTGTGCCGAGTTCCTGGGTCTGTACCCCCGCTGTGCCCATTATGAGGGGTTCCCACCATCCCTGTGTCCATTATGATGGGTTCCCACCATCCCTGTGCCCATTATGAGGGGTTCCCACCATCCCTTTGCCCATTATGAGGGGTTCCCACCATCCCTGTGCCCAATATGATGGGTTCCCACCATCCCTGTGCCCATTATGAGGGGTTCCCACCATCCCTGTGCTGGGATTTAACAGTAGGAACTGACTGGTGGGTGGAGTCTCACCTGCGAGGGGAGTGCCCCTTTAATCAGCAGCTCAGCCATGGTGTTGCCCCCACATCTGCTGGGCGGGGACTCCGAGCGGCACTACTTTAGGAATCAGCGGTTCGGTTCCTTGGCTCGGGTCGGTCAGCCCCGCCCCCATCGGCTCGGTCAACCCCGCCCCTATCTACGGGGAAAATACAATCAGAGTTTGCTGCAACATTCACCTCCAGGCCAGAGATTCCCCTCACAGTAGACTCTTCCTGCCAATAGATGTCCTCAGTCTGATGGCCATCATCATTCAACCCACTTCCTCTGAGCCCAGGTCATCCCAGGCTAGCAAGCAGTACAGTGATGAGCTCACCTCTCTGCTCTCCCCTCCAATCAGCATACTTCTTGTCATTCTGTGAATGGATTGGCTTGTGCTGCTCCCTCCCTCCCCCAGTCTGAGCTCTGCTGTACAGGGACCTGCAGGAGGGTGACCCCGGAGGGTCCCAGTCAGGGACTTGCACTGCTCGTCTCCAGTGTCGTATTCGCAATTGCAGAGTCACATTAATTCGTGTCCTAAATATCGTCCGGCCAATAGGACATGAATATAAAACGGAAATCTGGCGGGAAATATTATACAGAAGATACAAAAGGTATCAACTTCCTGGACACAATGTATCTGCCGGACACGTCATCATATCAACAGACACGTCATCATATCAACAGACACGTCATCATATCAACAGACACATCATCATATCAACAGAAACGTCATCATATCAACAGAAACGTCATCACGTTACCATATCAACAGACACGTCATATCAACAGACACGTCATCACATCAAAAGACACATCATCACGTGATCATATCAACAGACACGTCATCACGTCATCATATCAACAGACACGTCATCATATCAACAGACACGTCATCATGTGATCATATCAACAGACACGTCATCATATCAACAGACACGTCATCACGTCATCATATCGACACATCATCATATCAACAGACACGTCATCACGTGATCATATCAACAGACACGTCATCATATCAACAGACACATCATCACGTCATTATATCAACAGAAACGTCATCATATCAACAGACATGTCATCACGTTATATCAACAGAAACGTCATCACGTTATATCAACAGACACGTCATCACGTTATATCAACAGAAACGTCATCATATCAACAGACATGTCATGCTATCAACAGACACGTCTTCAGGGGCTCATTCACATCAGCACTGATCACGTCATCCATGATATGCGTTTCTTACTTTATTTTCTCTACAGAACTTTATTGAAGTGTATTAGTATATTATTATTATTATTTTATATTATTATTATTAGTATATTATTTTTTATATTATTTGTATATTATTATTATTATTTTACATTATTTTATTATTATTATTATTAAAATTAATTTATTATTATTTAGTATATATATATTATTATTATTTGTATATATTATTTGTATAATTATTATTTATAAATTTATTTATATTAATTTTATATTTTATATTATATTATTATTATTTATTTATATTTTTATTATTATATATTATTATTTTATATTATTATTATTTATTTTATATATTTAGTATTTATTATTATTATTTGTTTATATATTATTATTTATTATTATTATTATTAGTATATTATTATTATTTTATATTATTACTAGTATATTATTTTTTTATTTTATTTATTATTATTATTTATTATTATATATTATTATTTTATTTTTATTTGTATATTATTATTATATTTATATTTTATTATTATATATTATTATTATTATTTTATATTATTATTTTATATTTTATTTTTATATTATTATTTATATATTATTATTATTATTAAATATTTTTATATTATTATTTATTATATTATTATTATTTTATTTTATATTTTATATATATTATTATTTATTTTTATATAAATATATTATTATTATTATATATTATTATTATATATTTATTATTATTATTTATTTATTATTATATTTATTATTAGTATATTATTTATTATTATTATTATTTATATTATTATATTATTTATTATTTTATTATTTTTTATTTTAAATATATAATATTATTATTATATTATTATTTTTGTATATTATTATTATTATATTATTTATTTTATAATTATTATTATTTATATATTATTATTAGTATATTATTATTATTATTTGTATATTATTATTTTTTATTATTATATATTATTATTATTTATATTATTACTAGTATATTATTATTATTATTATATATTATTATTATATATATTATTATTAGTATATTATTATTTTTGTAATATTATTTTTATTTTATATTATTATTATTTTTTATATTATTATTATATAATTATTATTATTATTTTATTATTATTATTTGTATATTATTATTTTATATTATTATTTATTTTATTATTATTATTTATTTTATATTTGTATATTATTATTATATATTATATATTATTATTTTATTTATATATTATTATTATATATATATTATTATTTTTTATTATTATTATTATTATATTATTATTAGTATATTATTATTTTTATATTATTATTATATATTATTATTATTATATTATTATTATTATTATTATTATTATTTATTTTTGTATATTTTATTATTAGTATATTATTTTTTAGTATATTATTATTTTTATATTATTATTTATATATTATATATTATTATTTATTATTATTATTTTTTTATATTTTATATTATTATTATATATTATTATTATTATTATATTATTATTTTATATTATTATTATTATTATATTTATTATTAGTATTTTATTAATATTATATATTATTATTATTATTTTATTTATTTAGTTATTATTTATTATTATTATTATATTTTTTATTATTATTATTATTTTTATTAGTTATTATTATTATTATTAGTTTTATTATTATATTTATTATTTATTATTATTATTGTATATTTATTATTTGTATATTATTATTATTATTATATATTATTATTTATTTTATATTTTTATTATTATTATTATTATTTATTATATTATTATATTTTTATTATTATATTATATTATTATTATTATATATATTATTATTATATATTATTATTATTTTTTTTTATTATTATTATTATTTATTTATATTTTATTATTTTATATATTATTATTAGTATAATTATTAGTTATATTATTATTATTTGTATAATTATTTAGTTTTTATATTATTATTTATTATTATTAGTTATTGTATATTATTATTTGTATATTATTATTAGTATATTATTATTAGTATATTATTAGTATTTATTATTATTAGTATATTATTATTATTAGTATATTATTATTTGTATATTATTATTTGTATATTATTATTATATTATTATTGTATAATTATTTAGTTTATATTTATTATTATTTATAGCTCATTCTTCTCCCCGTTTGACAACTATTTCCGTGACGCACCTAAAAGTCGCTGCCCCCTGCTGGTCGTTTCCTCCACCACCAATGGCGAGGTCACCTGATCCAAGGAGCCGACTATCACCTGATTGGCCATTGATACAGCAGATCTCCATCGGAGGCGCCGCGGTATTTTCAGACACGACCTGAACCTGTTATAATGTTTTATTTCAAGAAATTTTTTATGCACAAAATCGAAAAACACGAAGAGTCAATTTTTTTTCCAAAAACTCTTTATTGAATACCCTGTAGCAGTACAAAATGTTACAAAAAAGCACAACGATCTGTATATATATAAAAAGACATAAAACTTGTAGAGTCTGACCCCGCAGATACGGGCTGGAGCCGAGGACGGCGAGTTGGTCGGGGGGGGGAGGGGGCGCTATAAGGCCACACCCCCTTCCTAATACCAGTCTATATTTGGCTATTTAGGTTCGTTGTGAAGGCGTCGACTCATCTGAAAGATGGGAAATGGATTATAAAAACCTCAGTGCGACGGGGAGATCTGCGTACCGTTCGGTGGGTTTGGCAGGTTTTTTTTCAGCGACGGAAAGAATTTAACAGCAGAAGTCGTTTGTTGAAATGAGTAGATAAAGAAAAGTCGGTGGCTTGCTGATTGGCTCCGTGGCTTGCTGATTGGCTCCGTGGCTTGCTGATTGGTTCTGCTATAATTATGTTCTAAGAAACTATTTCGGCAAAATAATATTAATAAAAAAAAAAAAAAAGTTTGACTCCACCCTGTAACCTTGTGAAATGTGATTGCATAAAATAGGGAGGAGTTTCACCCCTTGGTCCCCCCCCCCCCACTGTCCTCCAACCAAAGGCCACCGATGGACCAATCCACAGACTCCTGGAATGTCGGGAAGTAGTAAGGCACTGGAGATACGTGATGACTAGACCCAAGTATGGACCTCCCAACTCAACCGCGGCTGCTGAAACTGTGTTAGAAAACTAGAATGAGGTTTAAGTCGCTCTAAGCGGTCCGTGGTCGATTTGCCACGGCTGAGCTGAGGCCCCTCAGGAACCGATTCTGATAGAAGTTTCCGTTAGAAAACTGCGATCACTTAAACTCGGAATTCTGAAGATAAGATCTGTGAGTAAAGGTCTTCTGAAAGTGGACGGTAGGAGCGAGAGCCTTCATCCAGGAGATAGAGGGGATCAGAGATGGTCAGAGGTGAGAAACCGTCTTTAACTAATCGTTGCTTTTGTTGTTTGAAGGTCCCGGTGGTCTCAATGTGTTCCTGGACAAAAGGAGAGAGAAGATTAGACACGGAGACCACCCAAAACTAATATCTATGTGTTCCTGGAGAGAAGATCAGAAATGGTCAGCACCACCAAAACAAAGGTCTATGTGTTCCTGGAGAGAAGATCAGACATGGTGAGCACCAAAGCTAAGGTCCATCTGTTCCTGGAGAGAAGATCAGACATGGTGAGCACCAAAACTAAGGTCTATCTGTTCCTGGAAAGTGAAGGTTAAACATGGTGAGCACCAAAACTAATATCTATATGTTCCTGGAGAGAAGATCAGACATGGTGAGCACCAAAACTAAGGCCTATCTGTTCCTGGAAAGAAGATCAGACATGGTGACCACCAAAACTAAGGTCTATCTGTTCCTAGAAAGAAAATCAGACATGGTGACCACCAAAACTAAGGTCCATATGTTCCTGGAAAGGGAAGGTTAAACATGGTGATCACCAAAACTAACATCCATGAGTTCCTGGAGAGAGGAGGAGATTAGATATGGCGAACACCAAAGCTAAGGTCCATGTGTTCCTGGAAAGGGAAGGTTAAACATGGTGACCACCAAAACGAACATCCATGTGTTCCTGAAGAGAGATTAGACATGGTGACCACCAAAACTAAGGTCTATCCATTCCTGGAGAGAAGATCAGACATGGTGACCACCAAAACTAAGGTCTATCTGTTCCTGGAGAGAAGATCAGACATGGTGAGCACCAAAACTAAGGTCCATCTGTTCCTGGAGAGAAGATCAGACATGGTGAGCACCAAAACTAAAGGTCCATCTGTTCCTGGAGAGAAGATCAGACATGGTGAGCACCAAAACTAAAGGTCCATCTGTTCCTGGAGAGAAGATCAGACATGGTGAGCACCAAAATTAAGGTCTATCTGTTCCTAGAGAGATCAGACATGGTGAGCACCAAAACTAAGGTCCATCTGTTCCTGGAGAGAAGATCAGACATGGTGACCACCAAAACTAAATCTATGTGTTCCTGGAGAGAAGATCAGACATGGTGACCACCAAAACTAAGGTCTATCCATTCCTGGAGAGAAGATCAGACATGGTGACCACCAAAAACTAAGATCTATCTGTTCCTGGAGAGAAGATCAGACATGGTGACCATCAAAACTAAGGTCCATCTGTTCCTGGAGAGAAGATCAGACATGGTGAGCACCAAAACTAAAGGTCCATCTGTTCCTGGAGAGAAGATCAGACATGTGAGCACCAAAACTAAAGGTCCATCTGTTCCTGGAGAGAAGATCAGACATGGTGAGCACCAAAACTAATATCTATCTGTTCCTGGAGAGAAGATCAGACATGGTGAGCACCAAAACTAAGGTCTATCTGTTCCTGGAGAGAAGATCAGACATGGTGACCACCAAAACTAAATATCTATGTGTTCCTGGAGAGAAGATCAGACATGGTGACCATCAAAACTAAGGTCTATCTGTTCCTGGAGAGAAGATCAGACATGGTGACCACCAAAACTAATATCTATGTGTTCCTGGAGAGAAGTCAGACATGGTGACCACCAAAACTAATATCTATGTGTTCCTGGAGAGAAGATCAGACATGGTGACCACCAAAACTAAGGTCTATCTGTTCCTGGAGAGAAGATCAGACATGGTGACCACCAAAACTAATATCTATGTGTTCCTGGAGAGAAGATCAGACATGGTGACCACCAAAACTAATATCTATGTGTTCCTGGAGAGAAGATCAGACATGGTGACCACCAAAACTAATATCTATGTGTTCCTGGAGAGAGAGATCAGACATGGTGACCACCAAAACTAAGGATCACCAAAACTATCCATGTGTTCCTGAAGAGAAGATTAGACATGGTGACCACCAAAACTAAGGTCTATCTGTTCCTGTTCCTGAAGAGAAGATCAGACATGGTGAACACCAAAACTAAGGTCTATCTGTTCCTGGAGAGAAGATCAGACATGGTGACCACCAAAACTAACAACCATGTGTTCCCGGAGAGAGAAGAGAAAAGATTAGACATGGTGAGCACCAACACTAAGATAAGACATGGTGACCACCAAAGCTGAAGCACACAATGTTCCTCAACACAGAAGATCAAATATAGTGACCACCAAAACTAATGTCCATGTGTTCCTGGAGAGGAAAGAGAGAAGATCAAACATAGTGACCACCAAATCTGTGGTCCAAATGCTCCTGGAGAAGTGCAATGATCAAACATGGTGACCACCAAAGCTGAGGCCTATGTGTTCCTGGAGAGAGAAGAAAGATTATCAAATAGGGTGACCATCAAAGCTGAGGTCCACATGTGCCTTGAGAGAGGAAAGAGATGATCAGACATGGCAATGACCAAAGCTGAGGTCAATGTGTTCCTGGAAAAGATCAGACATGATTTCCACCAAATCAGGGGACTATGTGTTCCTGAAGAGAAAAGATCAGACGTGGTGACCACCAAAGCTGGTGTCCACGTGTTTCTGGAGAGAGAAGATCAGGCATAGTGATCACCAAAGCTGAGGTGCATATGTTCCTGAAGAGGGAAGAGAGAGGATCAAACAAGGTGACCACCACAGCTGAGGCCCATGTTTTCCTTGAGAGACAGAAAATAGAAGATCAAATATGGTGACCACCAAAGCTGTGGTCCACATGTTCCTGGAGATAGAAGAGAGAAGATTAGACACGGTGATCACCAAAGCTGAGGTTTACGTATTCCTGAAGAGAGGAGGTCAAACATGGTGGCCAACAAAGCTTAGGTTCTATCTAGAGCAATCAAACACGGCAAGGTCAATGACACACAGGGATGGACCTCTGATATATAGCAGTGAAATGTAAAAAAGGTGTGGAGAGAAAAAAGAGAAAATCAAATGTAATCACCAAAACGAACATCCACATGTTCCTGGAGAGAGAGAAGAGAACATCAAACATAGTGACCACCAAAGTGGAGGTTCATGTGTTCCTGGAGAAAGAAGATCAGACATTGTGACCACCAAAGCTGGAGGCCTATGTGTTCCTGGAAGGAGAAAAGAGAAGACCAAACATGGTGACCACCAAAGTTGAGGTCTTTGTTTCTCTAGAGAGAGAGGATCAGATACAGAGATCACCAAAGCTGGGGTGCATGTGTTCCTGAAGAGGGAAAAGATCAAACATGGTGACCACCAAAGCTGAGGTCATGTGTTCCTGTTGCTGGACCAGACATAATAACCACCAAAGCTGAGGTAGGTCCATGTGTTCCTGGTGTGGAGAGAGAAGATCAGACATAATAACCACCAAAGTTGAGGTCATGTGTCTCTGGTGCTGGAGAGAGAAGACCAGACATAATAACCACCAAAGTTGAGGTCATGTGTCTCTGGTGCTGGAGAGAGAAGACCAGACATAATAACCACCAAAGCTGAGGTCCAAGTGTTCCTGGCGCTGGAAAGAGAAGACCAGACATAATAACCACCAAAGCTGAGGTAGGTCCATGTGTTCCTGGTGCTGGAGAGAGAAGATCAGACATAATAACCACTAAAGCTGAGGTCCATGTGTTCCTGGTGCTGGAGAGAGAAGATCAGACACAATAACCACCAAAGCTGAGGTCCATGTGTTCCTGGTGCTGGAGAGAGAAGACCAGACATAATAACCACCAAAGCTGAGGTAGGTCCATGTGTTCCTGGTGCTGGAGAGAGAAGACCAGACATAATAACCACCAAAGTTGAGGTCCATGTGTTCCTGGTGCTGGAGAGAGAAGATCAGACACAATAACCACCAAAGCTGAGGTCCATGTGTTCCTGGTGCTGGAGAGAGAAGATCAGACACAATAACCACCAAAGCTGAGGTCCATGTGTTCCTGGTGCTGGAGAGAGAAGATCAGACATAATAACCACCAAAGCTGAGGTCCATGTGTTCCCGATAAGAGAAAATCAAACATGGTGACCACCATACCTTAGGTTCTACCTAGGACAACCAAACATACCAAGCTCCATGACACAGTGATAGACCTATGATATATAAAGCTTCAAACAAAAGCTGTGAGGAGAGGAAAGAGAAGATCGAACATGGTGACCACCAAAGCTGAGGGCCACATGTTCCTGGAGAGAGAAGATCAAACATGGTGAACACCGATATATGAGTGAAGTAGAATTCGAGGCTAAAACGATCTTCCCTTAAAACTGCTCCCACCCTCCAACACCTATACCAAAGACCCTACAGCAGAGAGATGCATCTTCTGGATCTTCTCTCTCCACACCTTTTTTGAGGTTTTACATTTCACTGTGTGTCATGGAGCTTGCCATGTTTGGTTGTCTTGGATAGAACCTCAGCTTTGGCAGTCACCATGTCTGATCTTCCCTCTTCTCTCTCCAGGAACATGTGGACCTCAGCTTTGGTGATCACCAATATTTGATCTTCTCTCTTTAGAATCAAGTGGACCTCAGCTTTGGTGGTCACCATGTCTAATATTCTCTCTTCTCTCTCCAGAAACACATGAACACCAGCTTTGGTGGTCACTAGGCCTGACAATCTCTCTCCAGGAACATGTGGACCTCAGTTTTGGGGATCCCCATGTTTGATTTTATTTCTTCTCTCTTCATGAACATATGGACCTCAGCTCTGGTGATCACCATATTTGATCTTCTCTCTTTGGAATCAAGCGGACCTCAGCTTTGGTGGTCACCATGTCTGATATTCTCTCTTCTTTCTCCAGAAACACATGGACATAAGCTTTGGTGGTCACTAGGTCTGATCTTCCCTCCTCTCTCTCCAGGAACACATGGACATCAGCTTTGGTGGTCACTAGGCCTGATAATCTCTCTCCAGGAACACGTGGAGCTCGGTTTTGGTGATCCCCATGTTTGATCCTCTCTCTTCAGAATCAAGTAGACCTCAGCTTTGGTGGTCACCATGTTTGATCCTCTCTCTTTAGTATCAAGTAGACCTCAGCTTCGGTGGTCACCATGTCTGATCTTCTCTCTTTAGAATCAAGTAGAGCTCAGCTTTGGTGGTCACCATGTCTGATCTTCTCTCTTATTTCTCCAGAAACACATGGACATCAGCTTTGGTGGTCACCATGTTTGATCCTCTCTCTTTAGAATCAAGTAGACGTCAGCTTTGGTGGTCACCATGTCTGATCTTCTCTCTTTAGAATCAAGTAGAGCTCAGCTTTGGTGGTCACCATGTCTGATCTTCTCTCTTTAGAATCAAGTAGACCTCAGCTTTGGTGGTCACCATGTCTGATCTTCTCTCTTTAGAATCAGTAGAGCTCAGCTTTGGTGGTCACCATGTCTGATCTTCTCTCTTTAGAATCAAGTAGACCTCAGCTTTGGTGATCACCATGTCTGATCTTCTCTCTTTAGAATCAAGTAGACCTCAGCTTTGGTGGTCACCATGTCTGATCTTCTCTCTTTAGAATCAAGTAGACCTCAGCTTTGGTGGTCACTATGTCTGATCTTCTCTCTTTAGAATCAAGTAGACTCAGCTTTGGTGGTCACCATGTCTGATCTTCTCTCTTTAGAATCAAGTAGACCTCAGCTTTGGTGGTCACCATGTTGATCCTCTCTCTTTAGAATCAAGTAGACGTCAGCTTTGGTGGTCACCATGTCTGATCTTCTCTCTTTAGAATCAAGTAGACCTCAGCTTTGGTGATCACCATGTCTGATCTTCTCTCTTTAGAATCAAGTAGACCTCAGCTTTGGTGGTCACCATGTCTGATCTTCTCTCTTTAGAATCAAGTAGAGCTCAGCTTTGGTGGTCACCATGTCTGATCTTCTCTCTTTAGAATCAAGTAGAGCTCAGCTTTGGTGGTCACCATGTCTGATCTTCTCTCTTATTTCTCCAGAAACACATGGACATCAGCTTTGGTGGTCACCATGTTTGATCCTCTCTCTTTAGAATCAAGTAGACGTCAGCTTTGGTGGTCACCATGTCTGATCTTCTCTCTTTAGAATCAAGTAGACTCAGCTTTGGTGATCACCATGTCTGATCTTCTCTCTTTAGAATCAAGTAGACCTCAGCTTTGGTGATCACCATGTCTGATCTTCTCTCTTTAGAATCAAGTAGACCTCAGCTTTGGTGGTCACCATGTCTGATCTTCTCTCTTTAGAATCAAGTAGAGCTCAGCTTTGGTGGTCACCATGTCTGATCTTCGCTCTTATTTCTCCAGAAACACATGGACATCAGCTTTGGTGGTCACTAGGTCTGATGATCTCTCTGCAGGAACATGTGGACCTCAGTTTTGGTGATCACCAGGTTTGATCTTCTCTTTAGAATCAAGTAGACCTCCAGGAACACATAGACCTCAGGTTTCAAGACTAGTTTTAGACCGAGTTCTACTTTAATGCCTTGAAAAATGGAGATTCAACGCTCTGCCGACCCCCCACCCCCACACACCAAGGTGGCACTACATCAACAGAACCCAGTTACGTATATTGAATTTCACCAACCATGACTCTCAGGAAGCGTGGACGAGCGTAGGACGGAAGGAACTCCATCACATGGGAGAAAACTCGATCCAAATCCAGCTCATGGCCAGGACGCACAGTGACGGCCGCCATTCCAGTCCGACCTTCATGTTCTAAAGCAGGAAGACACCAAAGATGAAGCCAAGGATTACGATGACCAAACACAAGCTCTGGAGATGGATATAGAATAATAAGAAAGGCCTACCTGGAACGGTCACCCCGTAGACATTGACCTCCTGGAGGAAGTCCAGCCCACTCATGACCTCTGACACCTCCGTGGTGGCAACGTTCTCCCCCTTCCACCTACGACACAAAAATCTGCGATGACATTTTTTTTCCTCGGTTGGAGGAGGACCGCCCTGTTTCAGTTTTGGGGGAGGCCCTCGCCACCTTCCACGGCCACTGAGGTGGTCTCACTCTGGCTGCAGAATTCTCCATGACATCGGAAGGTGACCCCGCCCTTTATCGTAGGGTGACCCCGCCCTCCCATAACTGCACTACTGGTTGTGTAGAAGTGTCTCCGCACCTGAAGGTGTCGCCGGTCCGGTCCCGGAAGTAGACGAAGCCGAGGTTGTCCTGCGCCATCAGGTCGCCCGTGTTGAAGTAACAGTCGCCCTTCCGGAACACATCGCGCAACAATTTCTTCTCCGACATTTCCCGACTACCAACGTACCCCAAGAACGGAGACATGGGGGTGACCGGCGAAATCAGGAGACCCGTCTCCCCTGGACAGAAGATACATCGATCAAAGGTCCATCGGGTTCAACGCCTGGGGGTGCCGGATTTCACGCAGCTCCCTGGGCGTGGCCACAGACTGCGACGAGAGGCCGAGAACCAATTACAGGAACAGGGGGAGGAGGAGGCATGCAACTTTACCTGTGCTTGTCTGCTGGCACCGCCCCTGCGAGTCTCTGATTGGCTCCCCCTCCTGGGTGTCGAAGCGGATGAGATCAAATGGGCAGAATTGCTACATCAAAAGAGAAATAAGACATGATCATTAACCAATGACAGCACAGACCTCATCAGAGTCCTGCAGAACATCGCCCCGTCCCATCCCCCTCCTGACAGATCTATATTCATGCATTCTGCAGATTATTCCATCACTGGCCAATTCCGGCCCTATTCTACGCGTTTCATCACATATGACGTCATCAGGGGCACAATCCATATTGAAATATTCTGCAGATTATTCCACCACTGACTCCTCCTAGAGATCTGCAGAACATCGCTCCGTCCCATCCCCCTCCTGACAGATCTATATTCATGCATTCTGCAGATTATTCCATCACTGGCCAATTCCGGCCCTATTCTACGCGTTTCATCACATATGACGTCATCAGGGGCACAATCCATATTGAAATATTCTGCAGATTATTCCACCACTGACTCCTCCTAGAGATCTGCAGAACATTGCTCCGTCCCATCCCCCTCCTGACAGATCCATATTCATACATTCTGCAGATTATTCCATCACTGGCCAATTCCGGCCCCACCCTACGTGTTTCATCACATATGACGTCATCAGGGGCACAATCCATATTGAAATATTCTGCAGATTAGTCCATCACTGACCTCTCTAGATATCTGCAGAACATCGCTCCGTCCCCTCCTGACAGATCCATATTGAGATACTCTGCAGATTAGTCTATCACTGACCTCTCTAGAGATCTGCAGAACATGACGCCAATTCCGGACCCACCTACGCGTTTTGTCTCATATGATGTCATCAGGGGCACAATCCATATTGATATATTCTGCAGATTATTCCACCACTGACCCCTCTAGAGATCTGCAGAACATCGCTCCCTCCCATCACCCTCTTGACAGATCCATATTGATGCATTCTGCAGATTATCCCATCACTGACTGCTCTTGAGATCTGCAGAACATGATGCCTATTCTGGCTCCACCCTACGCGTCTCCTCACATATGACGTCATCAGGGGCACAATACATATAGATATATTCTGCAGATTATCCCATAACTGACCTCTCTAGAAATCTGCAGAACAACGCTCCATCCCCTCCTGACAGATCCATATTCTGCAGAGTATTCTGCCTCTGACCCCTTTGCAGAACATCGCTCCATCCCCTCCCCCTTCTGAAAAATCCATATTGATATATTCTGCAGATTATTCCACCACTGACCTCGCTAGAGATCGGCAGAATATGAACCAATTCCGGATCCACCCTACGTGTTTCGTCACATGACGTCATCAGGGGCACAATACATACAGATAGATTCTGCAGATTCTCCCACCACTCTCCTCTCTATGGACCCGCAGAGCATCGCTCCTATTAGGTAAGACCCGACTTACCTTGTACAGGTAGGTACCCCTGCCGACAGCGCCGGGCGTCCCCCGTGTAGTTGAAGAAGCTGACATTGAACTCGGTCAGGCCGTACGTCTCAAAGATTTTAATGTTCCCAAAGCGGCGAGTGAAATCCTTCCAGACGTCGGGGCGGAGCCCGCTGCCCGCCGCCAGGCGCACTTTGTGGTTCTTCTCGCCGTCGCTCTGCATCACAAAGGGAACAGATAATGTACACAGAATCTCTCAGCCAATCGGCCGTCACTCTTGGTGTAAAAACTTTATTGTACAAATAAACAAACAATCGATCACAAGGCGTGCCGATCACAAAGATACGAGCAGAAGCTGCTTCCTTGCAGACCGTCTCTCTCTCATTGAAAGTCTGCAGGGAGAACCCCTCCCCCAGCTCATTCAGCTGTGTGTGTAATCTGAGCTTCAGGCTATGGAAACGACTGGATTTATTCAGCACGGCAGTTAGGATTAGTCTGGTAAACACATGAAATTAGCCAAGGAGGCCACCCATTGGCTCATTCAGCCGTGTGTGTAATCTGAGCTTCAGCTATTGGGCTTTGTAAACAACAAGCCTTAAATGGAAAGGTAGTTGAGGGTGAAACTCCCCCCAGGTCATTCAGCTGTGTGTGTAATCTGAGCTTCGGCTATTGGGCTATGTAAACGATAGAATTTATTTGGCCGAGTAGTTGAGAGGTGAACCTTCCACCGGCTCATTCAGCAGGATTTACTCAGCAGAGCAGTTAGGATTAGCCTGGTAAACACATGAAATTAGCCAAGAACGCCCCCCACTGGCTCATTCAGCTGAGTGTGTAATCTGAGCTTCAGCTATTGGGCTATGTAAACAACAGGATTCAATTGGCAAAGTAGTTGAGGGTGAACCCCCACCCCCGGCTCACTCAGCAGGATTTATTCAGCACAGCAGTTAGGATTAGCCTGGTAAACACATGAAATTAGCCAAGAACGTCCCCCACTGGCTCATTCAGCTGAGTGTGTAATCTGAGCTTCAGCTATTGGGCTATGTAAACGACAGGATTCAATTGGCAAAGTAGTTGAGGGTGAACCTCCCCCCCCCCCAACCCGGCTCACTCAGCAGGATTTATTCAGCACAGCAGTTAGGATTAGCCTGGTAAACACATGAAATTAGCCAAGGAGGCCACCCACTGTCCCATTCAGCCGTGTGTGTAATCTGAGCTTCAGCTATTGGGCTATGTAAACAAGAGGCCTTAATTGGCAGAGTAGTTGAGGGTGAGCCTCCCCCCGGCTCATTCAGCTGTGTGTGTAATCTGAGCTTCAGACTATAGAAACGACAGGATTTATTCAGCAGAGCAGTCAGGATTAGCCTGGTAAACACAGAAAATCAGCCAAGAACGCCCCCCACTGGCTGGAAATCATAACTATGAAACATTGATACAGCAATTATTTTGATTGCCAGCAGAGCGTTGCTTGGACGGTAAGCAGAACATCGAACGACGGAGGGGTGATGGGGGACGGCAGAAGAGACTGTGATTGGACAGCTGTGGAGAGGGAAAGGACCAATAGAAGGTGAGAGGGGAGGAGAGAGCGCTGCCATTGGAGTGATGGAGGGGGCGTGTCCCCGGTACCTGCGGTTGGTTGGTGAGGTAGCGGCACAGCTCCCCGATATACTGGAACACGGTGACGTCGTACTTGCGGCAGTCGTTCCAGAACTGGCTGGCGGAGAAACGTTCCTTCAGGACCAGCGACGCCCCTGAGGACCAGCATGGAGAGGGAAGTCAGAGAGGATCATGGGAAATCATCCCTTTCTGTCCTATAATCATCGGCTCCATCTACTGGCGACATCGTGGAATTGTCCTGATTTAGGTATTTCCGGGAAATTCTGTGTTTTGGCCACTAGATGGAGCCGCCGATCATAGGAAATCACTGCAGATGACACAATTGGCGGCGATTGTTTGTGACGCTTCAGCGACATCTTCATCCGTCGGCCGTGAGGACTTACCGACGCCGATGCAGCCGCCGACCCCCAGCAAGGCCCCGGCTTTGTGGTAGAGCGGCAGGGACATGTAGATGACGTCATCGCGTCGCGCTCCGCACAGCTGGTAGAAGACGGAGCACATCAGCGTCTTCAGGTGGCTGATCCGGGCGGCTTTGGGTAACCCTGCGGAGGGAAAGAGATCACCAGATCGATCAGTGTGGGGGCTGCCAGGAGGGGGCGATTGTGCCGACACCCCGAGGAGCCAATCAGAGGAGCCGCTCCGCCCCCTCCATCATCGACTCACCTGTAGTCCCGGAGGTGAAGATGCAGATGGCGGTCTCCATCGGATTCCTCACAATGCCAAGCTCTGCAGGGGGGGGGCTGTCCGCCGCCGCGTCCATTAAGGCCTGCAGGTTGATGACGTCATCGGGGTAATTGCCAGGACCCATAACCCAAACTGTGATCCCCATCTCCCGCACATCGGGGAGAATCTCCCGCACAGCTTCAAACAGCTCTAGAAGATCAGAGAGAAGAATGAGACAATGGATGGGACACGCCCACATCTCTGACATCACCGCCCTCCAGATATAATATACAGGAGTGACATCACCGCCCTCCAGATATAAGATATAATATACAGAGTGACATCACCGCCCTCCAGATATAAGATATATTATACAGGAGTGACATCACCGCCCTCCGGATATAAGATATATTATACAGGAGTGACATCACCGCCCTCCAGATATAAGATATATTATACAGGAGTGACATCACCGCCCTCCAGATATAAGATATATTATACAGAGTGACATCACCGCCCTCCAGATATAAGATATATTATACAGAGTGACATCACCGCTCTCCAGATATAAGATATATTATACAGAGTGACATCACCGCCCTCCAGATATAAGATATATTATACAGAGTGACATCACCGCTCTCCAGATATAAGATATATTATACAGGAGTGACATCACCGCCCTCCAGATATAAGATATATTATACAGAGTGACATCACCGCTCTCCAGATATAAGATATATTATACAGAGTGACATCACCGCCCTCCAGATATAAGATATATTATACAGAGTGACATCATCCGCCCTCCAGATATAAGATATATTATACAGAGTGACATCACCGCCCTCCAGATATAAGATATATTATACAGGAGTGACATCACCGCCCTCCGGATATAAGATATATTATACAGGAGTGACATCACCGCCCTCCAGATATAAGATATATTATACAGAGTGACATCACCGCCCTCCAGATATAAGATATATTATACAGAGTGACATCACCGCCCTCATCGGATATAAGATATATTATACAGAGTGACATCACCGCCCTCCGATATAAGATATATTATACAGAGTGACATCACCGCTCTCCAGATATAAGATATATTATACGTCGCTCCGGTATAGGAATCTCTGCAGTGACGTCACATGTTGGGATGTTTGTTGGTAAACAATGTATCAATGTGGGCCCCGCCCCTCGCCCCTCCCCCGCTCACCTGGGCAGGTGATGAGGCCCCGGGCCCCGCTGGCCCCCAGGCAGTGCCGTAGCGCCCCCCGGCGGACGTTGGTGTTCAGGAAGGCGGCGACGTGTCCGAGTTTAGCCAGACCGAACCAGGCGGCCAGGAAGCGGGGCTCGCTGGGCAGGAGGAGGGCCACTGTGGCCCCCGGGGGCCCGGCGTTGAGCAGAGCGTTGGCGGCCCGGTTGGCGGCTCCGTCCAGCTGTCGGTAGGTGATGATCTGATCCCGGAACCGGAGGAACGGGGAGTCCGGGGAGCGGCGGAGCTGCAGCTGGAAGAGACCCGGGAGGCTGAGCGCCCCCTCCCCCATCCACCGACCCACCGACCGCCGGAGAGCCCAGGACCGGAGCAGGAAGAGCGCATCGTGCAGGAGCAGAGCCAGGCGCCGGGCCCCTGGGGGCCACAACACTGCCAGAGAGAGCAGGAGGGCCACCACCAGAACCCACTCCATCATCACCAGGGGCCACACTGATCCTGGGGAGGGGCTACACCGCCCCTCCCCCAACCAGGGGCCCCTCCCACACACACCAGGGGCCCCTCTCTGCCGCTCCTCCCTGCCCGGCTCCATCTCATTACATTACTGCCCCCCCCCCGTATATATAATATATATGGGGAGCAAACTCTGTACCCCCTTCTAGTGTACCCCCCTCCCCCTTCTACCCCTCTAGTGTACCCCCCTCCCCCTTCTACCCCTCTAGTGTACCCCCCCTCCCCCTTCTACCCCTCTAGTGTACCCCCCTCCCCCTTCTACCCCTCTATTACACCCCCCCATCCCCCCTCCGTCCCTCTATTATACCCCCCAATCCCCCCTCCGTCCCTCTTTTACACCCCCATCCCCCCTCCGTCCCTCTTTTACACCCCCATCGCCCCCCTCCGTCCCTCTATTGTACCCCCCTCCCCCTTCTACCCCTCTAGTTACCCCCCTCCCCCCCTCTCTACCCCTCTATTACACCCCCCGATTCCCCCTCCGTCCCTCTTTTACACCCCCATCCCCCCCCCCCCCCTCCGTCCCTCTATTACACCCCCATCCCCCCCTCCGTCCCTCTATTGTACCCCCCTCCCCCCCTTCTACCCCTCTAGTTACCCCCCTCCCCCTTCTACCCCTCTAGTGTACCCCCCCCCCCCCCCCTCTACCCCTCTAGTTACCCCCCTCCCCCCCCTTCTACCCCTCTATTACACCCCCCCCCCCCCTCCGTTCCTCTATTACACCCCCCCCATCCCCCCTCCGTCCCTCTATTATACCCCCCCCAATCCCCCCTCCGTCCCTCTTTTACACCCCCCATCCCCCCTCCGTCCCTCTATTACACCCCCATCCCCCCTCCGTCCCTCTTTTACACCCCCATCCCCCCTCCGTCCCTCTATTACACCCCCATCCCCCCCTCCGTCCCTCTTTTACACCCCCATCCCCCCTCCGTCCCTCTATTACACCCCCATCCCCCCTCCGTCCCTCTATTGTACCCCCCCCCCCTTCTACCCCTCTATTACACCCCCCGATTCCCCCCCCCGTCCCTCTTTTTACACCCCCATCCCCCCTCCGTCCCTCTATTACAAAAGCCCCCTCCGTTCCCTCTATTGTACCCCCATCCCCCCTCCGTCCCTCTTTTACACCCCCATCCCCCCTCCGTCCCTCTATTACACACCCCCACCCCCCTCTCCGTCCCTCTATTACACCCCATCCCATCCCCCCCTCTATTATACCCCCATCCCCCCCTCTATTATACACCCCCATCCCCCTCCGTCCCTCTATTACACCCCATCCCCCCCTCCCTCTATTATACCCCCATCCCCCCTCCGTCCCTCTATTATACACCCCCATCCCCCCTCCGTCCCTCTATTACACCCCCATCCCCCCCTCTATTATATACCCCCATCCCCCCTCCGTCCCTCTATTATACACCCCCACCCCCCCCCCTCTCCGTCCCTCTATTACACCCCCATCCCCCCCCTCTATTATACCCCCATCCCCCCTCCGTCCCTCTATTATACCCCCCCATCCCCCCTCTATTGTACCCCCATCCCCCCTCCGTCCCTCTATTGTACCCCCCCCCCCCCCTCCGTCCCTCTATTACACCCCCCATCCCCCCTCCGTCCCTCTATTATACCCCCATCCCCCCCTCCGTCCCTCTATTATACCCCCATCCCCCCTCCGTCCCTCTATTACACCCCCCGATCCCCCCCTTCGTCCCTCTATTGTACCCCCATCCCCCCTCCGTCCCTCTATTGTACCCCCGTCCCCCCTCCGTCCCTCTATTGTACCCCCCGTCCCCCCTCCGTCCCTCTATTGTACCCCCGTCCCCCCTCCGTCCCTCTATTATACCCCCGTCCCCCCTCCGTCCCTCTATTATAGCCCCATCCCCCCCTCGTCCCTCTATTATACCCCGACCCCCCCCCCCCCCCCCCCCCATCGTCCTCTATTGTACCCCCGTCCGTCCCTCTATTATAGCCCCGTCCCCCCCTCCGTCCCTCTATTATACCCCGATCCCCCCTCCGTCCCTCTATTATACCCCGACCCCCCCCCCCCCCCTTCGTCCCTCTATTATACCCCCGTCCCCCCCTCCGTCCCTCTATTACACCCCCGTCCCCCCTCCGTCCCTCTATTACAGCCCCGTCCCCCCCTCCGTCCCTCTATTGTACCCCGATCCCCCCCTCCGTCCCTCTATTGTACCCCCGTCCCCCCTCCGTCCCTCTATTATACCCCCATCCCCCCTCCGTCCCTCTATTGTACCCCCATCCCCCCTCCGTCCCTCTATTGTACCCCCATCCCCCCCCATGGTTTCTCCCTGCAGAATGGTGATGGGATTTTAGGAGATGAGTTGAGGTGTAAACGTGGTGAATCTTAGCACCGTGCGCGTCCCGACAAGAAGAGTCACTTTGCCGGCGGCTGTGTCGGGGGAAACCTGATCAACAAGTTGGAGCATCACATTGGGAAATGAAGGCAGGATTCCTCCCGCGCCCAGCACATGGTATAGTGCGTGACCCCATGGCTGAGTCTTCCCACCACTTCCTGGCCCAACAGGGAATTCTGATGATCGGTTAGAACTTCTGCAAGTTGTCTTCTCCACGTCTAGATGCCTCAATGCATGGAGTTGCTGCCCTGTGATTGGCTGATTAGCAATTTCTTACCAAGTAATTGAACAGGTGGAGCCAATAAAGAGGCTGGTGGGTGGATGTGGCCAAGAGTTTGTGGCCCCCCAGACCATCACACCTACATGGCCAAGAGGCTGGGGCCCCCAGACCATCACACCTACATGGCCAAGAGGCTGGGGCCCCCAGACCATCACACCTACACGGCCAAGAGGCTGGGGCCCCCTGATCAACTCATATACAGTGCAGGAAATGTGTATTTGCTCCCCCCTGATGGTGAATGTTCCCCCCACACAGAAAGATCGGTCTACAATGTTCGCCCCCCAACACATGGTGCCCCTCACACAGAAACAATGTTCGCCCCTCACACAGAAACAATCGGTCTAACAATGGAATGTTCGCCCCTCACACAGTCACACAGAAACAATCGGTCTAACAATGGAATGTTCGCCCCTCACACAGAAACAATCGGTCTAACAATGGAATGTTCGCCCCTCACACAGAAACAATCGGTCTAACAATGGAATGTTCACACAGAAACAATCGGTCTAACAATGGAATGTTCGCCCCTCACACAGAAACAATCGGTCTAACAATGGAATGTTCGCCCCTCACACAGAAACAATCGGTCTAACAATGGAATGTTCGCCCCTCACACAGAAACGATCGGTCTAACAATGGAATGTTCGCCCCTCACACAGAAACGATCGGTCTAACAATGGAATGTTCGCCCCTCACACACAGAAAATGGAATCGGTCTAACAAAACGATGGAATGTTCGCCCCTCACACAGAAACGATCGGTCTAACAATGGAATGTTCGCCCCTCACCCTCACACAGAAGAAACGATCGGTCTAACAATGGAATGTTCGCCCCTCACACAGAAACGATCGGTCTAACAATGGAATGTTTGCCCCTCACACAGAAACAATCGGTCTAACAATGGAATGTTTGCCCCTCACACAGAAACGATCGGTCTAACAATGGAATGTTCGCCCCTCACACAGAAACAGGAATGTTCGCCCCTCACGATCGGTCTAACAATGGAATGTTCGCCCCTCACAGAAACACAGGTCGGTAACAATGAATGTTTGCGGTCTAACAATGGAATGTTCGCCCCCTCACACAGAAACGATCGGTCTAACAATGGAATGTTCGCCCCTCACACAGAAACGATCGGTCTAACAATGGAATGTTCGCCCCTCACACAGAAACGATCGGTCTAACAATCGAATGTTCGCCCCCTCACACAGAAACGATCGGTCTAACAATCGAATGTTCGCCCCTCACACAGAAATGATCGGTCTAACAATGGAATGTTCGGTGTAACACTGAGAGACAGAATACAACAACAACAAATTCAGCAGAAATGCGTCTAACAAATGATGACGGATCTGCATGTTCATGAGGGAAAGAAGGATTTGATCCCCTATCATTCAGCAGGATTTCTGGCTCCCAGGTGTCTCTCATACAGGTAACAAGCTGAGATTAGAAGCAGTCTCTTAAAGGGAGTGCTGCTAATCTCATTGTGTTTACCTGTATAAAAGACACCTGTCCACAGGAGCCATCAAACCATCAGATTCCAAACTCTCCACCATGGCAAAGACCAAAGAGCTGTCCAAGGATGTCAGGGACAAGATGGTAGACCTACACAAGGCTGGACTGGGCTACCAAACTATGGCCAAGCAGCTTGGTGAGAAGGTGACAACAGTTGGTGCAATCATTCACAAATGGAAGAAACACAAAACAAGTGTCAGTCTCCCTAGGTCTGGTGCACCATGCAAGATCTCACCTCGTGGAGTGTCAATGATCATGAGAACAGTGAGGAATCATCCCAGAACTACACGTGAGGATCTTGTCAATGATCTCCAGGCAGCTGGGACCACAGTCACCAAGAAAACAATTGGTAACACACTACGCCGACAAGGACTGAAATCCTGCAGTGCCCGCACGGTCCCTCTGCTCAAGAAAGCCCATGTCCAGGCCCGTCTGAAGTCTGCCACTGAACATCTGAATGATGCAGAGGAGGACTGGTGGGAAGTGTTGTGGTCAGAGGAGACCAAATCCAGCTCTTTGGCATCAACTCAACTCGCCGTGTTTGGAGGAGGAAGAATGCTGCCTATGACCCCAAGAACACCATCCCAACTGTGAAACATGGTGCTGGAAACATTCTGCTTTGGGGGGCGGGGGGGGGGGGGGGGTTCTGCTAAGGGGACAGGACAACTGCACCGCATCAAAGGGACGATGGACGGGGCAATGTGCCCTCAAATCTTGGGTGAGAACCTTCTTCCCTCAGCCAGGGCATTGAAAATGGGTGGTGGATGGGTGTTCCAGCATGACAATGAC